AGCGCGTAGGGTCATAAGTAGTTTCAAAATAATTTTGGAAAGCTTTAATCTCTTTGGCATGAGTAAACATACCTTTCTTTGCCGGTACCTGCACATCGAAGGCATCAATTAGTTTCTGTTGAATTGTAAGTGTATCGAACATATAAGTTTGATAAAACTTGGTCCACCATTCCAGAAACCCTTTAACTGTGAGATGGGTAGGTTCGAAGGATATCAGCTCAAACTGGGCAAAGCCTTGATATTGTTCTTGCTGTATTTTGGCTTCCCGTGCCTTGAAAGTTCGCCCAGAAGTAATGGCGCTCTCAGTGTGGAATAAAGGTTCAGGAATGAGTTGACATAAGCCAAACTGTCTCGAAACAAAATTTGGTTGGTAAGCAAAAAGAAAAATCTGGTTCTTGGCTGGAGTTATTCTTGAAGAAATGAGTCTAGGTAGCAAAAAAGCTCTCCATACATCCTGAATCTCCTTGCTCTTGATAGCTTCTGAGAGAGCCATGGTGAACCAAGAAGGTCCATGAGCCCTCGAAGCAAAAGGCGCCATGCTCTCTTCGAACTTGTGCCTTTTGGAGAATATCATGATGTACTTCGAGAATTGGACTTTGAAGTCATCTTTGTCGTCATTTAGAGTTAATCTTCGAAGCCTAGTGCCTTCGACTATCCTATCATTTATCTCAGGATCTTGTTCATCAATGGTGTTGGCGGTTGACAAGGAGGGTTCGAACATGGCATTTAGCCATAGCTGAAGCAACCAAAAGGGGCCAGCCAACAAAATATTCTTGGAGGTATGGGATTTGAGGCTCGAAATAGCTGACCTCAGGCTTTCATAAAGGTCAACTAAGAGCAGTTCACTTAGGCACACTTTTCGATTTTCATGCAAGTCCCTAGCTAGAGGAATGAACCTACTAGCTACCTGTAGGGATCTACTGCAGAAAACATATCTTGACAGCCACAGGGTTAAGAAAGCAATGTGTTCTACGTCAGACACATTGTCCCCCTCAGCATGGTAATGACTGATAAACTTGGAAAAACTTGCTAGCTTGACTTCGAAGTCAATTATGCTTGAATGTTCTTCGTTGTCGGGGATATAAGTTTCTCCCACTGGCGATAGCCCAGTGATGGCCGCTATGTCGAAGAAGGTTGGGGTGATCATTCCACCGGGGAGATGGAAAGTGTTATAGGTACTGTCCCAGAAATAGAGGGACGCGAATAGCAGAGGGTGGCTGTAGGTGAAACCAGGCTTCGATAGCTTAATCAGGTTATAGATACCTAATTCTTCCCATTGCTGGGATTTCTTAGCTTCTACTTTCTTGAACCAATTTTGATAAGCAATATCAGAGGTGGGGCAAGATCGAAATGGCTTAAAATCGCTTTTTACATAATCGAATACAAAGGGGTCCTTAGGAGGAACAATTGGGTTTTCTATGGTATTTAAACTAGAAGATTCTATGGCCTTAGGGGCGTCCATTTTGTTAAACAAGGGTTTAAAACTATAACAAACTGGGAAAATTGTCCTGGTGTCTTTTAATATTTCAAAAACCGTAAGAGGGCCATTTAAAGCTAACCTCTTACCAGCAACGTTGGTAGGAATGAGTACCTGTGACGCATACAACATTTCTTTTTCCTTTGAAATCATCTGAGGGGCAAGAACGGACTGACCTTGGTGAGTGATGATTTTACTTTCCATGATAGTTCCTGCAGTTTTTCCTTTGTTCTTGGAGACTTTCTTGAGTTGGGATGAAGTAGAAGAAGACATTTTTGAAGGATGTTGAAAGCTTGGATTTTTTTTGATGAGAGAAGGAGGGTAAAAGATTCAGAGTGTGAAAAGAAAAGAAAAAGATTAAGTTGATGATGTTTTATAATGGGGAAGTTTAAGCATCCACTGAATAAGGGTGTGATACGTGGAAATCATGGGTTGGTGTGATGAAGAGGTGGCGTAAAGTTAACATGGGTAATAGGCGTGATTTAAAGATAATCATTATTTGTAACTGCAACATACTGTGAAGTGGCTCCAGGCGGTTAAGGAATCCAAAAAGCGCTATGATTGACGTGACTGGAGTCAAATGCATTAAATGTTACGATGATTCGAAAGTCACATCAAAATCTTGTGTAGATGTTTAAAATAGGTATTTCTCAGAGAAATCGAAATACATATTTTAAAGGGGCAATTTGTTGGCTGAAGATTTTGATAATAATATTAGAAGCCAAATGAATTAAACGTTTCGATCGAAATGAAGTAAAGCGTCATGTTTCGAAGTAGCAGAAGCAGTGTTTCGAATAAGCATATCAAAACTGGAGCTTCGAGTGGCAATTATGGGAACATATCTAAAGAAGTCTCGAAATAACAACAAGGCTGTGTCTGGGAAGTGCGTTCGAAACGGAGAAATACCAAAGCATTTGAAATTCAAATGGAAGCGGGACATTCGAAGTTTGAAATTTATGTGCTGGAGCATTTGGAGACACGTGGAAAGGAGAAAGAGGCATTGTTCTGCATGTTCTGAACGTGGCATAATCCTATAGCAAGACCGTTATGGTCGAATTAGTATAAATAGAAGTCTTAGTATTAGGATTTCGTGTGTCATATCTATTGTACTAAATCCTCAGTAACATTCAAACTACCACATGGCAAGGGAAACGAATGCAAGAGCAATGTACGTATGATAGCACCATATATTTCTGATTTAATGAAAACCTTTTACCATTTCCAGCACTTTCCTTTATCTTTCTGTCAAATAACATTTACAAGTTTTCTCATTTACAGTCTTTTCACTTCGAAATCTCTTCATTAAAGTTTTACATTTCAATGCTTTTCTTCATATTTCAAGCACTTTACATTTCAGAAAACTATCATATTTTCCATGCCTTTACCTTCAAACTTTATCCTTCGAACGCATATTTTTACTTAAAGTCATTTACAGATTTCTTGCATTAAACGCTTTCTTCATACTTTAAACCTTTTACGTTCCAGAAATCCTTTACATTAACTGTTTTTATAGTTTGAAACCATTTACTTGCCTTTTATGCAATTTTACGTGTCTTTACAATTAACATTTATTCATGCAACTTAGTTTCGTACACGCACATTTTGATTACATCTTTAGACCTTTTGAGAGAGAAATCGAAATAAGCCAAACACCTATACAACACTCAAATATCAACCATGAATATCTGTTCGATCATGAGAGTACCCCTAATGTCCAAGGAATCCTAGGATCAATCTAGTCGATCCTGTGAGTTACCAGAGGAATTGAATAACAGTCAGAAAGATTATTCGATAGTTTGGAAGACTAGCAGTTGTTTACCAGAAATCACTGGAAACACACGCGCATCTGGATCTTCCAACGATTCCAGTTTTTGCCATCAAATACTGGAAGCTTGGAATGAATATCGCAGTTTCCGTTCATCTTCTACCTTATGCAATTTACGCAGAATTTCCCAGAATCAGAATATTGTAATTCTTAATCACAATACTTCTTTTTCCGTGGATTTCGAACCGAAGCTCTAGATACCAATTGTTGGAGCACAAGGAAGATAAAAGGAAAAAGGAATATCTACTGATAGCTTCAAAATAATGATTTATAATGAATTACAATAACCTACTCCACTATGCTATTTATACACACAAATTAAATCTAAAATACATCTTCTACAAAGATATAAGAAGATCTAAGATTTATATCTTCTAATAAAGGTATAAACAATCTAAAAGATATTCTTAAATATAAATTAATATCTAATTAATTATCAAATCTAAATTAATTCTAACAGTACGTTCACACGTTACTAATATGTTACACGTACGTCCGCACGAAATCTGGTGTGTTACCTGTGAGTTTACAAAGGTACTTGTGTGTTACACACACTTTTGTTTTCAAAATGTAATAAAAAATTTAATAAAAAAACCAAAATTATTTAACCAAAATTAATTTATTATTTAGCGGTGATATTCTTCTACAAATATGCCAACTATCCTCTCTCTTTGCCTTGGATCTCTCAAATAATAGAGATTGATTATAAAAATGACTAACAATATTGTCCATAACACAATATTATAAGTTAAATTATTTAGAAAGTAGCACAAACAATATGATGCTTTGAAAATATTATTATATAGAAATCAAGACAGTTTTAATATTATATTTTACCATAATCATAATTAATTAATATATAGAAAGCAGTAAAACTATAATTCCACCATGATTAGTGTCACTTAGAATATTGAACCACTTAGAAAACTATAATCGATTGACTATTTTAAATTAACAATTATTTAATTTACATAATAATTTAAAACTATAATCGGTTGACTATTTTAAATTAACAATTATTTAATTTACATAATGATAGTCATGATGGATTATGGATAACAGTTATAAAATTGGCAATGAATAGGGGAGGGGTTGTTGAATTAGAACAAAAAGACAACATTGACAGAATGATTAAAATGGATTTTGTTATATTATAGATAATTATGACTATTTTTTTATCAATTAGAATAACATAATAATGAGAAGAAATAATTTTTTGTATGGAGATATTAGAGTTAGTGAGATTACTTATTACTAATTAAAAAAAAAGTTAATTAATTATTATTAATGATTAGTTATTAAGTAGTATATTATATGATTAAAAATAAGTATGATCATTTTTTTTTTGACGGAGTAGATAAGTATGATAATGATAATGATGGTACGATTTTTATGATGAGTTGTAGATATTCTGTAACCGTTTTTACTCTAATAAAAATCTTCTCCCACCATTTACCGTACTTCTTGACTAACCTTTCACGATTTGGTTCAGTTATTTTCATTTTGCTATTAAAAAGGAAAATAAAATATATCTTTTATTACCAAAAAAATCGTCTATAAATAGCAGTAGTATCAGTGCAAGCATTGTATAGTTGAAAATAAAGCGAAAACAAGAGGGAAAAAGGAAGAAACCATGAGTCGTGGGAAAGAGGTGAATCATTTTCTTCCCATTTCATTTACAAATCGTTTCATTACTGGATGCATGTTTACGAGTTTCTCTTTCTTTCTGTATGCAATTCTGCATTTTCCGACGACTTGATCAGAGACTGTTCGATGCATCTTCCGGAGACTTTCGATGCATCTTCCAGTCACTGTTCGTTGCGCCTTCCGGTGACTGTTCGATGCATCTTCCAGTCACTGTTTGATGCATCTTCCGGTGTCTATATTTGCATAGTCAACATTTGTTTTTGATTTTCTTTATTTCCGATTTTACATTTTTCTCCGGTGACATGTGCACTCTTCAGTTACGTTTTTATGCGTCTTGGTTTGTTTCTTGTTTCTTCCCGATTTTACATTTACGTCTTCCGACTTATATACTCCGGTAATACAGTTATTGATCGTGATGATTAGCGATTAATTTTTGCCTAAATGTTTGTAAGTGTCTGATGCAGTTTTTTAGTACAAATTGTGTGATTCTGATATGAAAACAATGGATTGGATTTAAGCTGAACTGTTTTGCTTCCTAGGTAAATATTAGTTATGAAAAAATTGTCGATATTGAGTAGTGAAGATATTGATTCTATTATTTACTATTTTTATGATAAAGAATATATTGCATATTGTGGTTAACTCACGATCATGCTTACAAAATTAAATTAACCAACTCACGTAATTTTATAAAATTTAAGACAACTAAACAAGATAAACAAAATTAAGAACATCATCACTCAACATTTATTTTGGTCTAAACAGACTCCTAACATAATTGACCTCAATAATCCAAGATTGTTATGCTATCTTGTTCATCCTCAAACCTCATGAAAATCAAGTACCAAGTCGGCCATAATTTTGTAATATAATAACATTTAAATTTTCAAATATATTAAAAATCTTAAACGCATTACGATATAGGTTTCTTAATAAAGGTAAGATTTTGGCAAGAATTTACATTTGCTTTTTCAAACAATCACAATTTTAGTCCTAACTAAGAAAAGCAAAGTTTGTAGTCAAAACAGCTATGCGCACACCCTCATTATTTGGATTATTTAGATCTGTTTTGACTCCAAACTTTGCTTTTCTTAGTTAGGACTAAAATTGTGATTGTTTGGAAAAGCAAATAAACTTGGTAAATTCTTGCTAAAATTTACATGAATGTTTTACCTTTATTAACAAACCTATATCGTAATGCGTTTAAGATTTTTAATATATTTGAAAATTTAGATGTTATTATATTACAAAACTATGACCGACTTTTCAAACGCCGCCGTCACATGATCTATTACAATTACAAATCAAAATAGTGGTTGGTTTTCATGGAGTGAAGTTTGAGGGTGAAGCAGATAGTGCATCAACCTGTGTTGATGAGGTCAATTATTGTTAGGAGTCTGTTTAGATCAAAATAAATGTTGAGGTCCTGATGTTCTTAATTTTGTTTAGTTGTCTTAAGTTTTTAAAAAATACTTGAGTCGGTTAATTTTGTAGGTTTGTATATTGCAGATATTCCATACTGGTTGAAAGTTAACCAGACTTGGTTTTTGTTCTGAAACTGAAAAACCGTATGACTTGCTGGAAAAGTAGAAGTTTTATGTTTTAAAATATAATTTGAATCTTATTGAGCTATAGTTGTGCATAGTTTGCATATATTGCGGTTAATTTAAACTGCAACGGTTGCAATCAATATCACCAAACGAAATCACCAAAGTCTTTGCGAGACTCAATGTGATTGCAAAATTTGTTTCTATTTTTCATTTAAAATATAATTTAGTACTTTTTCTGGTAAAAAGATTATATTGAAAATTTGACGCTATTTTAATATTGTAAATATAATTACATTAAATTTCCATGATAACAATTAATTTAATTGAAATATGTTAACCCAATTAATTTATTTGCTCTTGTGAATTTTAAATTTAAGTTCGGTTTTGATCTTTTGAATTAAGATGTCAATTTGCTTATTATTGTATTTGTTTATACACAATGCTTTGTAGCACATACGCTCACACACAAATGACTGTGTAATTGTAAATGTTTAGTATCATAATTTTGCTTTATCTTGCAGTGTTACTGTACCCTCGAGTTTGACGGTGCATCCAGTGGAAATTCTGGAAAATCTGGTGAAACTGGGAATGAGGTGTATACTCTATGTATCAATTCATATTTGTAACTATATACGATAAACTATGTATCAAATGTAGCTAACTCTTGGATTTCTTTCACTCAAGACCGGGCACTGAGAGAAATAATTCTGCTGAGTATCAAGGTTTAATTTTGGGATTGAAAGAAGCCAGTAACAAAGGGTATGATCATGTTGAAATCTGAGGCGATTCCAAACTTGTCTGCCAGCAGTTTAGTTTAGTTCTATACGGTATATGCATTTTCCAATTGTTCACGAAATATCTTCCTTTTTATAAGGAATTTACCATAATATTTTATTGCTATATAAAAATTTACCATAATATTTTATTGCGCAACAGTTTGCGGGTAATTGGAAAGTCAATAACCTAAATTTAAGGGACTTGCGTAATGAGGCTTTGGACTTGAAGGATAACTTCAAGTCAGACAGTGTTCAACATATTCCTAAGGTATTATCCTTCGCTCTATTTTGTTTATTGACACAATGAAATAATGTTTCTCAAATTGCCATCTTTTTTAATTGGGTTTTGATCTATGGCACCACTGTCATTAGTCCCGTATATTTTCCCTTATTGTATGGTAATTTTAACAAATGCCTTTCCTCTTTTTTTAAAAATGTTTTAAGGGTTCTAACAGAGAAGCTGATGCTCAAGCAAGTTGGGGCAAAAATCTTGAAGGTTAGACTTCAAATCTTTTCTGAGTTCTTAATTATTTTGGTTTCTTATCTTTTGGCTTTTTAAGAAAAATGAATTACCAATAAATTGAAAAAATGAAAACTAATGAATAGAATCATTTACTTTCACAATTGTATTTGGAAGGACCATAAATTTTAATGGATCTTATATTTTTGCAGTTGGCCAAATTCAAGAAGACTATTATTACTATTGATCATTTGTGACAGCATGCCACAGTCAAAAACTATTGCAACTATGTTACTTTTTTGTTTGTTTAGATTGTGCCTACTAGTTAAGCATTTAGAGTGGTCTTACATTTGACACACTGCATTCTGTTTGCAATTTGAACATTTGCTTTAGGGACTTAAATGCTGCGGGTTTAAATGATGCTTTTGATGTTTATGTTTGAATGTTATGTGAATTATACTGAACTTACTATTTTCTGCCTTCATTTGTTTGTTTAGATTTTATAATCTCTTGTGCTATCTGATGACACTTATTGTTGTTTGATGTAATGAGACCCCAAAAGTAATATTTACAAATTTTTGACTGTTCAAACATATCCATCCCATTTTGTATCTTTGATTAAGATGTTTGTTTGTACTTTTTTTAGCATTCTCTTTACACAAGATGGGATATTAAAACAGTTTGCTTGGTTTATCTAGAAAATTCATATTTATCAAGCACTTGATTAAAAAAAAACTTATCTTCCAAATTTCGAACTTTTAATCTAATTGTCCATGTCGATGGAGGTATGAGGAGTTTCAAATGACTATGTATTGTATAATATTGTGCAAGATGCATAATATATATATATATATATATATATATATATATATATATATATATATATATATATATATATATATATATATATATATATATATATAATCTTTAGAAGATTGTGGTGTAGTATGTGCTGTATTAAAAACTAGAGGGGGTAAAGTGTTTTTCAATGCACTTGGACACATGTGGTAAGTTAAGAGGGATAAAGTGCTGTTATTCAATGCATCAAACACACCCAGTAAAAACAAGAGAAATAAAGTGTTATTCAATGCATTCAAAATATAGGCATAAGCATGATGATCCTGGTGTTTGTTTCTCAAAAATCCAAACATAAAACACTTAATAATAATGATGTGAACCATGTGTCACGGGCCTTAAATACGTGTGGAATATTTTGGATATGAGGCGTTTAACTCGATCATCTAAAGTATCTCATGTCATAATTTTTATGTGGTTCAAATCATCAAATCCTTTCAAAAAGATTAAAAAACATTTAACTCCATTCAAACCTTCTTGTGTGTTCGAGCACCTTTTTCCTTTAATATCGTTTTTCCATATTAGATATGATTCACTTATAATCGAGATGTTATTCCTCAATTCTCATGGTTGTTGATTTTTCCACTTGAGCACTAGAAGCGTTCTCAAACTCTCGTTCATGTTGGTGCCTAGTCTTTCTTTCTTATACCTTGTGAGCGATTAGACAAGTTTTCTCCTTAAAAATGATGACTTGTCTCTTCTTTTAAAATCAATTAGCACATCAAATTTTGTTCTTTTCAAGATGAATTACGAGTGTCATGATCCCTCATAATAAAAAAAACATTTTTTTTTTGTTTGTAAATACTCTTTCATTCATTTTCCTTTACAAGTTCGAGCTTTAGCACACTCTCTGATTAAAACAAGCAAGTAGATTATGCGGAGTACCATAAATAATTAGAGTGCTAATATCTTTCTTTTGCATAAACGATATTTGTACCTTGTTCTCTGATCTTTTATTTCATTTTGGATTTTATTCACTCTTTTTCTATTTTCTCTTTGGAAACAATAAAGAGTATTGATGACTTTCATTAATATGAGTTAAGTCAATCAATAGTTTAATCTCAAATGTTTACCGCTACATTTAGCTAAAGTGCGACAAACTAACTCAAAGTTTTAACTTTATACAATCTCCTTGGCGTTACTGCATTTGTGGTACATGTACTGAGTTTGTTTTATACACCACTTCTCAAACTTATCTCAATACAAACACACTATAGGCTATTCTCTATCACGTGTTGGAATAAATATGGTCTTTGTTTTGTCCTTTCTGTTTTTTTGCAACTCTGCCTGCAGAAACGCAACTCTGTCTGCTACATACTATATTATACAAAACTTATAATATAATATTTTTGTATCTGTGTAAAATACAATTGTTAACCATTATAACCTCTCATATATCAATATATTATATTTTATCTCTATTTAGAATTTTGTGCAAACTTTTTTTTTGTGTTGCCCTCTACTTTTACCTAAAATCCACAGTTTTTTGGACGACATTTTTATTGTACAACATTATAATATTATTATTGTTTTCAAGACCAACACTTCACACTATTTCATACGATTAATGTTTCATCTTCTCAAAATATTCACTTTATACTGGTGAAACATTAAAAATTTAGGTTCAAGGTAAACCTACAACTTTTCAAGAATCCAAATGCAATTTATATGATGAGGTTAGACTTCTTTTAATTAATTATTTCACACCATGTTGGTTTGATCCAATATTATAGGTATATATACCATATTTACTTATTCTCTTTACAATTTAACAATAACACAATAGCTAACACATTTGTTAAGTATTGTTGCACCCCAAAATCTACCTTCTTATCTTTTGATCTAATTGACTTATATTTCTCTAAACATATATATTTATGCATTGAGATGAGATTAAGGTGTTCTTGTCTTCATGGTTCTCTTAAAGTCCTAGAAGAGAAACTTTTGACAATCAATGAAAGGAGGATCCAATATCCTCATTCTATTGAAGATTTGTTTTTAAAATATAAGATTCTGAATGGTTCTAATTCTCATATAGTCGCAGACTAAGGAGGATATTTTAGGAACATTGATTCTATAATATAATTTATTTTGTTTCATAAAAAGCATCTTGGAGACTTTTTTAGAAAATTTTATATTTTTGTTCCTATTTTTGTGGAGAAGATTTTACAGAAGATTTACAGCTTGAATATTGGATTTGCATGGAGTCCAAGCTCATGCTTTCAAGAGTCTTTTTATAAAAAAATTCTAAACCAAAAACACTTGGAGAAGTTGTGTGTATGAGATAAGGGTTTAGGATTTTAATTTGTTCTTTGTTCATTGTGATCCACTTCTTATCACTTTGATATTAGAGTTGAACTGGATTTTAGTTGTTATTTTTCAATCACTCATAAACTTTTAAGCAAGAGTGGATTGTAGGTCAAGTTACCTTTGTTCTTCAGCCAAAAGCTTTTAAATAGAGTTAATTGTCTGTCTTTGAAGAAGTGTTCTTCTACTTTAGTTATCATTGTTAGTTTGTCACTGGTTTGTGATTAAAGGGAAATGAGGGGGATCTCATATCTAGGAGGGTCTTAGATAGAAATAGCACGAGTAGTGATTAGGTGAGAAGTTTGTAAAACAAGGGTTGTTCAAAACTTCAAACTAATACTATTTTAGTGTATTTTCTTCATGACTTGGATGCCTCCAAAGTAGGTGACGTTGCACCAAACTGATTTAACAATTGATTTATGTTCTTTACTTCTACAACTTAGTTTACTTGTATAATTGTTTTAGTTGTTGTGATTGATCTGATAGCAGTGTTGTGACATCTGGTTTGACATCTGGTATCTGTGTGCCAAAATTTCAGTTAGATTCTCGAATAGCTACAATAATGTTACCAAAGTGAGAGGTCAATATACACATTACCTTCTTAACTATCATCTTATCCGTTAGGGTTTCACCATAACCCTTCATGAGATGGACACGATTAAACATCTTCGACATAGCCTGTAATCTTTTCATCTTCTCCCAACTACAGTAATTCATACTTTCGTCGCAAAGTTTGCAATTTGACGACTTTTATTTTCTCAACTCCTTCATAGTACGTGACAAGAATATCTCTTTCCTTCTTTGCCGATTAATCATGAGATATCTTGTCAAAATTTATTGAATCTACCGCCAATTTAATGCAATACACAACCTTGCAATATTTCTTCTTCGCCTCTTTGTGTAGATTTTTATGCATGTCGGTTGCATCCTGGGCAAGCTCAGGAATGTTGTTTTCGACTACTTTTAGGGTTTCATGAAAAACAAATAAGGACTTCATCTGCTTGCTCCATCGGTTCTAATTTTTGCTGTCAAGAATTGGAAGAGAATTCAGAATACCATTAGTATCATTCATCTTTGCAATAGTTGATTAACAACCCACGATCTCGGAAAGACAATCACTAACATGTGATTTTTTAAAACACGATTTGTTAGTACGTGATGCGTTTTTATTGAGAGAGAGGGGGAGAGAGAGAGAGAGAGAGAGAGAGAGAGAGAGAGAGAGAGAGAGAGAGAGAGAGAGAGAGAGAGAGAGAGAGAGAGAGAGAGAGAGAGAGAGAGAGAGAGAGAGAGAGAGAGAATAAAGAAATAAGGATTGATATTATTGAATTATAAAACTGATTTACAACATGTTTATTTATATGTAATTAACTTGTATACTAAGTAACAAACTCTAAACCCTAATTAACTTGAGCTTTAGCTACACAACTTGGATTATACTCTCAATATTTTCTTCCTCAAGAAGAAATCATGAGAAAAGTAAACTATTGATTCAAATACAATTAGTATTGTATTTTTTTCAAATAAATATGTTTATACTATTATACAGGAAAAATATATGAAAAAATGTATGATTGATTCAAATACAATAAATATATAGTTTGATTCAATAATTTATGTATCATATATATTTGACAAATATTTTATCACAAATACAATTTGTATTGTATATATTTGATAAATATTTTATTACAAATGCACTTTATGACACGGGAAAAATGAAATTATTGACTCAAATATTGGAAATGAAAATTTATTTCCCTTTTTTAAAATATGTTAATAAATATATTAAATAATGTTTATATACATTGACTGGAAACATATATATAGAATTTTCTAGAAAAGCAATAAGAAAAACGAGAATAGGAATAAGAACTAGCGCAACAAGTGGCATAATGTTTGAAATCATCACACTTGTCAATGTGGTACTTTATTCTCTTTTGTCCTTTTGTAGAGTTAATGCTTTTAACTCATTTATAAAGACATTCAAAGTGACTACTTCTCATACATTTACGAGTATTTACTCACTTTCATTATTTTCTCATTTTAGAACACTCATTTGTAATTAATTTTCAATAAATTACAACA